GGAACCGGCCCTGTGGAACCTCAGCCCAGAACCTCTGTGTGGAACCGGCCCTGTGGAACCTCAGACTGCACAGAAGTGTTAATGTTTCAGTGAAACGGAGCAAACGGGGAAACAAAACTGTTTTTCTGGCAGTTTATTGTACGGCTGCATGAATTTCACCATTTTTAGACTAAATCGTCTAAAATCGGCAAAATTAAATTGAAAATCAGTAAAGATCTCAAAGAAAGCAGTAAATGTGATCCGATCAGCTGCTGTGTCTAAAACGTGGGTCAGAGTTTCCTCCAACGTCTGGTTCAGTCCAGAGATGTTCAGCTTAGTGTCACAGAGGAGAGAACCCAGAGAACCTTCAGACTGGAGGAGCTGAACCCAGAGTTCTGACTGAATGTAATAAAAATGACTTGAACTGATCAATCGATTGTTGGAATATCTGACAATTGATTAATTAGTTGACAACTGATGGACGAATGGATTCATGGCTGTCCCTCTAAGCGGCTGTATGGGTCTCAATGCTGACCGGTTAAACTCACTAGAACTAGATTTTTGTCCAGTAACTGTTGGTTCTGGTCTCTGCTGGTTCCACAGTGGAAACACAAACACTGAAAGGTTCTAGAGCCGATCCTGTGAAGGCTCCTGCAGTGGACAGAATCCTGGAGCTGCTGAACAGGTTCATGCTTCTCCATTCACCTTCAAGCTTCAAACGGAAAGTGGATTTCACTGACCCACCAGAGAAGATACCGGGACAGAACCTGCAGGAGGACACTGATGCTGTGGGAACAGGTGATGGTGCTGATGATGCTGATGGTGCTGAGGCTGATGATGATCACAGTGTCGTCCTCCGTGCGTCCAAACACTGAGCTCCATGTAAGCCACACTCACACTCGATCGGCCCCCCAGCGGCCCCTCATTGGCTGCCTCCCTCCACCTCCCTCTGGCAGAAGTGGGCCAGCAGAGCATCCAGGTCTCTGCGGTCAGCGGCGCCGTACAGCGAGCTCTCTCCCATCATGCTCAGCGCCATGCGCAGCGTGGACCAGATGTTGTCGGACATCATGGTGGCGGCGGCGCCTCCGGGCCCCCGAGCAGCTCGAGCTCCGTCCCCGGCCGCCTGCCGCTGCAGAGACAAGGCCTCCAGGAAGTGCTCCACCGCCTCTCTGGGGGGACAGGTTCATTTCTCTGGTTAATATTCTAGTAAAATGGAACAAGCTCAGAATCAACAACACGTTTCTCCACCACAGCGCTCCGCTCTGAGGGGCGGCTTCAAACCACAGCCTTGGTTGGAGCACTGTGCAGGTTTGCCAGTGACACGTCCACTGATCCATACTGAACTCTGCAGCACACATTAGACAGACGTTCTAGTTCTTCCGGGTTCTGACCTGTGAGCTCCTAAGTTGACGCAGCTGATTCCCAGGTTGTAGCGGCTCCGGACGAAGCCTGGCTGCAGCTCCAGAGCTCGTCGGTAGGCAGCCACGGCCTCCTCGGAGCGGCTGCCGTTGGCCAGCGTGGCTCCCAGTTTATTCCACAGCAGGTAGTCCTGACAGAGAGGAAGACACGGGTCAGAACCTCACACAACTCAGAGATAAGACCTCTGGACCTCCACCCACCTGCGGGGTGACGGACAGAGCGGCGCTGAAGCAGTCTACCGCCTTGTCGTACTCTCCACTCAGGTTGAACAGGACTCCCAGACCACACTGCAGCTGAGGGTCCACCTGGGCCGGGTCCGAGTTCGCTGCTTGCAGGAACAGAGTCTGCACATCCGTGAGCAGAGATCTGCGCAGAGAAAAGAGCTGTTCAGGTGATGAACTGGTGCAAACTGGACAGACTGGTTCTGTGTTGTTCCTGCTCTGCAGCATGACTCCACCGTCCCAGCAATCTGATGAGACCTGCATGGTTCTGAGTCCACCTGCACATGGAGCTGTGGTTCTAACGACTCATAAACTCATTGCTAACATAAAGGCGTGTTAGTTGCAATGCAATGACAAGGCGGTCAGCGCATCATGTGCTGGCCCACCTGCTTCATGAAGACAACAAGCACTGGTTCAGCTCGAAGCTCATCATGTTCCAGTTTCTCACCTTCATGGTTCTGATATTGTCAGATTCCAGATAATCTCTCCTCACAGTTATGGAAATGCATCTCCACTGCAGCACTTTGTGGTGAGACACGGGTAAAAAGGTTCCTGAATATGAAATGTGGAGGTGTTCTCAGACCAGCGGAGAACACGTGACGTCCTGGACTGTTCTGATGCTGAGCTGTACCTGGAAACGGCCGATACTCACTCTGGCAGCAGCGATCCGAACCTCTCCTTCTCCTTCTCCTTCTCCCGGCCTCCGTCCTTTCGGTCTCTCTCGCTCTGCTCCCACACCGAGCGGTATTTAGGGTTGTGCTTCAGCCAATCACGGAGCGTCTCACAGGCCTGCCTGTGCAGCGATTCGTTGGTGAAGCTGACGGCGAGCGCCATCAGGGCGGTCAGGTTGTCGTTCTTCAGCTCTATACACCTGACGGAGGTAAATGTTGGAATTAAGAGCTTGTGAAGCCTCGGGAAGAGCTTTAAAAAGTTCTAACTGCAGACACATGGACGGAATCTGCTGATGACTGAACTGTTGAGAAAACATTTAAACTGTCACATACTTCTACTGAATGGAAGAACTAAACAGACAGAACCACAGAATCACTGACAAATTTGACAAAAGCTAACTGGAACACGGAAAAGCAGCAGGAGCTCCACGTTAACACGATGTACAGTTTGAACAAAATGAGAACTGAAATAAAACTCCAGAGGAACTTCAGGGAGTTAAAGATGACGTGAATCATTCTGCAGTTCTGACTCTGACCTGCGGAGGGCGCTGATGGCAGCAAACTCCTGCTCGTTCTCGGCCTGGCAGGTTCCCAGGTACTGCCACGCCTGCAGGTTAACCACAGGACACAGCATCACGTCAGTACGGCAGAAGACTTTGTGGGTCATTTACAGCAGACATGGAGCCACTTCCTGCCCTGGTTCTGTTTCAGAGTGACTTTCATTCAGATGTTGAGCTACTTTCCCTCCAACCTGCCGTCACATCTAAACGGAGCCCGTTAAAGGAAGCCGGCTGTGAGCGACCAATCAGAGTCTCACCAGCTGGTTGTCTGGTTCTCTCTGAACAGCACTTTCAAAGAAACGAACAGCTCCGGGGATGTCTCCGGCCTCCATCCTCTTCACGCCCTCTGACAGCGGGTCGGGGTGGGACAGATACGGGTTCTCCTCCTCAAACTGGTACCCCTGCAGGAGAACATTCAGAGAACCTTCAGAACCAGGGCCGCACGCAGCGTGAATGCTGAGATCGGAGCAGGATCCTGCAGATACCTTGTCAATGGAGGTGCTGAGCAGCTGGTCGAAGTCGGACAGCCAGGGGTGACTCTCTGCATCCCTCTTGGCCATCTCCTCCCACTCCTGCTGCAGCTTCTCCCAGAAGTCCACATCGCTCTGAAAGACACACACAGAAACACTGACGCCGCTTAGTTCCTTCTCCAACAGGACGCTCGTCTCCAGTCCCGGTTCTACTGTCTGACCTCTGCTTTGTCTCACCTCCACTGCAGCTTTGGCCTGCTGGAAGTCCGGCCCCGACGCCGCAAACTCGTCCACCCAGGCTTCAGCCGACTCCTCCGACACCTGAAACAAACAGAGCATCCGTGTGAAGCGGCTCGGAGTCGGTTATCAGAGGATGAGCTGAGGACAGTCAGGAAAACATCGAGGGAAGTGAATGAAACGAGGTAAAGATGACATCAGAAGGAGTTCCTTCCTTGTGTTTCTGGCTGACTAACTCCTGTTTTTGCAGTGACACAGAACATACAGAGTAATGCTGAGTGTGTGCAGGAGATAATCTACAAACATCACTGGTGGTAACATGAATCAGAGACCTCTCGCTGCCACCAGAGGTCCTACCTGCCTGATGACTTTGGCCCACTGCTCTGCTTGTTTAGCTTTAACTTTCTCAATCTTCTCATTGCTCTCTGGAGGCTCCAGGGGAAGACTGCCGCCCCCCGTCTCCGTCAGGAACTACGACAGGAGGCCGGAGGGAGGATGTTTGGAGCAGGGAGGCAGGTGAGGAGGTTTGATTTTGGAGGGTGGGAGCGTTTCAAGTAGTGGGAGAAGTGGATGGAGGGCGGTTTGTTATTGAGGGAATGGCAAGCCGAGAGTTTGAAGGTCAAAAAATGGGAAAAGTACATGTCAGAGTTAGAGGGCCATGAACAGATCAAACCATAAATATCATGAGCTAAGAGCTGCACATGCACAGTGTCACATGGAAACTTATCTCCACCAGGAAAAGAAAAAACAGATCAAACCCTGAATGAAGCACTGAGATCCAAGTTCTGACCAGATGAAGAATGATTTAGATTTTAATCCTCTGAACTCCAGAGCCTGCTGGACGGGTTAAAAACTAAAAAAAAAATTTTTTATTAAAATGACAACATTAATCAGACAGAAACTGTAAAAACAGAAAGAATTGTCAGATTTTCCACCTTTCATGGTCACTGAACTCATCATGTCTGACGGAAACAAACCAAATATAAACTGAAAACTGATTTTTCATTGAAATCACTCTGCCCTGTTCAAATGCACCACAAATGAACCATCTGCAATATCCATCCATCCATCATCTCTACACCTTCATCCTCACCAGGGTCATGGGGGGCGGAGCCTATCCCAGCTGACTCAGGGTGAAGGCAGGTTCACCTGGACAGGTAACCAGTCTATCACAGGGCTACACTTAGAGACAGACAACCAAGCACACTCACATTCACACCTACGGACAATTTACAATCACCAATTAACCTCAGCATGTTTCTGGACTGTGGGAGGAAGCCGGAGAACCCGGAGAGAACCCACGCTGCACGGGGAGAACATGGAGACTTCACGCAGGAAGATCCCGGGTGTCCTCACCGGGATGCAAACCACCGACCTTCTAGCTAGGTGAGCTATGAGTAGCTCACCTAGCTGAGCTCTAGTCCCCGACCCAGCCGTCGTGGGTTCGACTCCGGCTCACGACCCTTTGCTGCAGGTCTCTCCCCGTTCTCCTCCCACTTCCTGTCTCTCTACTGCTCTGAATAAAGGCAAAAAGCCCAAAAGTCTATACTAAAAAATAAACACCAAAGCCAACAGTCGGCCAGTAAAACCTGACAGAGTATTTGGCTGAAGTGCAGGAAGTGTCTCCACAGAGCAGAGAAGACGTCTCTGAGTTCTATCTCCTCCATCACGGTGCAGAGAAACATGAACCTCAGAGAAGAAACATGAGACAGCAGTAAAAACACAGACGCTGGAGTTCAGAGGACTAGAAATAAAATGAACAGAACCATGTGTGAAAACAAGGAGACAGGAACTGACAGAGTCTATAACGTGAGACAATAAGTTAAACTGTCGTCTGACACTGAACCAAAGCTAAAAATGTAAAATTGAGTTATATCCCAATCATGTGGACTTCTTATCTCATAATATTGACTCGTGTCCTTTTGTTCTCATTGTGCCACAGTCCTGAGTGGCTGTGGGTTGATTTCATGTTGTTGATCTGTTTCCTCTTCTCCCAGCAGACGTGTCCACAGCATCAGTAATGATTGAGCATTCAAATGTGGCATCAGCCTGTAACTTAGTAAAGTTATGAACTCCAGTCAAATGAAGAACAGAAGGAACATGGAGTTTGGATGGGAGAAGCCTGATTGGGTCTGACGCAGCAGAAAGTGAGTTCCTGGAGAGAATAAGGTCCATGTGCAGCTTCACATGACAGCAGAGCTGCTGCTGGTGGCATTAGTGGAGAACGTTGGTCAGATACTGGCTGCACTGGGCAGAATCCAGTAACAGACTCGTACCTGGTTGAGGTTGGAGGCCCAGTTCTGAGCCTCCCGGGCCTGAGCTCTATCTGTGAGCTGTCTGTCTGTCCTGCTCTCCACTGTCACACTGCCCTCGCCAATCTGCCTAATGAACCGCAGGAACTACACAACATGAAACACAAAACGACAACACATCACTGCCTGTCAGGAGGTTCTGTCCAAACCAGCAGTTCGCTCCAAACTGACAGTATAATGAAACCACAGTAAGCTGCAGTCGTTGGTCTGAAGATCTGCAGAACGTACAGAAGCAGAGGAAGGAGTTAAGACAGAATGTCGAGAGGTGAGATGCTGTTTAGGGAACCGGAGCGCACCTGCACAGGTAGTCTGTGGCTGGCTCTCAGCTTGTTTAACTGCTCTAAGTTTACAGTCAAAACAACAGTCAGACTGAGTTTAGGAAGAGTTTGGTGGTGTTAGAGCAGCAGCTTAGCCTGAAGGCTTCAGCCTGAGTCAGTGTGTAATGAGTCCACATGAACAGTTAATGAGGTCAACAGGCAGAAATAAAGACTTCAAGCTGCTGATCTTACTGTGTTAGTAGCTTTTCAGCCGTTATAGTAAACTCAGAGATACTTTACTGCCTTTTCAGGTTCACCAGTTAAAATCCAGATGAATGCAGCTACTGCACTGTGCTGCTGCTGTTCAGGTGGACTGCTTCCTGATGCCAGTCGATCAGCACACCTCACATGTCCAGATGCTGACTGAGTGTTGGTTTTTAACTGATATGCAGTTCAACACGATTCAGGTGATGACTGGATCTTACAGCAGTAAACAGTCGAGTCACATAAACTGTGAACGTTCTGCATCTTCACTGGGAGAAACATTGGTCCGGTCCGGTCCAGCAGCACCACACCTCTCACATGACAAAACCATCCGGTCGGACTCTCGGCTCACCTCAGTGTTCTGTAGCTTTGGATCATCCACCTTTGAGACGAGCTCATTGGCCGTCTGTCGGAGCTCCTCACCTGGATGATACTCCTTTGTCCTGTCAGAAGAACAGATGCCAGAGTTACACTGAGCAGGAAACCCTTCTTCATCTTCATCTTCAGACACCATATACCCTGGATGTTCTGCATCATCACCACCATCACCACCATCATTATCTTCATCACCAGCACCAGCACCAGCACCAGCACCAGCACCAGCACCAGGCTGGAGCAGCCCAAAGTAAAGCTGCTCGATGTGAAGTCAAACTAATCAATCAATAATTAGCTGCATGCAATATTTCACTGCAGAGACGATGATGTTTGATAAAAACAGGTTCTCTGTCTGCAGCTGCTGTTCGTTTGATCCTCTAAAGATCTGAATGAATCCAAAGATCCAAACATGAGAAGTGTTCCAAACAGCAGAGAGTCACTGATGCCAGATGTTTACCTTCCAGAGACACCAGACCGATGTGGGCTTTACAAATAGGGTCCAGTGGCTTCAGCAGCACTTTGTAATATCTGTTCGGAAGTTTCCAGCTGATTGAAACCAGTTAACTAGAACTTCACAGTGGGAAACTCTGCAGGTAAATCAGGCTCTACATCCGTCTGTCGTCCATCGATGAGGACCAGCGACTGATCAGACTGTGTGATGATGATGATGGAGGGAGAACACGGCAGCAGCCTGGAGAACCGGTGATGTGATGAACACATGGACCAGACTACATCCTGCAGCTGCCAACATCGAGCCAGGCTTTATTCACAGAGTTGTTCTTTTCATAACACAGAACAAGTAAACATCCAAACATGAGCCCTGACTAGTCAACAGGCAACAAGAACATCACGGAGCTCCTGTTCTCCTGCTGTTCCATGTCTGCAGAGCTTCAACTCATCCTTTATATAAAGCACCTTTCATCCTCTTACCATTCGCTCTCTTTGTCTCCCAGGTCTCCGAGCCACAGCTTCTCCTCAGACTGCTCCAGATACTCTTCAGCCCAGCGTCCAGGATCTGCAGCAGCAAAAACAAACTCTTAAACGCATAACGGAAGTTCTCAGGATGTTTGTTCTGATGTCAGTAAACACTAACTGATGTTAAATCGCACATTCAGCCGTGGTCCAGGAGTAAAACAGCCTAAAGAACCCCTCTCAGTACCTGCTGCCTCAGCGATAAACTCTCTCGTCCAATCAGCATCAGCTGCATCGCCCAAAGCGATGAGGCCCGGCGTGGAGGCGGAGTCAGAGCTGGGCAGGAACTCTGCCGCCCAATCACCAGAGAGAGCCAAGGCTGCCACATCTGGAGCTGAAACATGGGACACCGACAAAAGTCTGTGAAAAAGCTCAACCCTCTGAACTCATGTTTCTGTGCAACATAAAGTCCTGCAGCTCTACGGAACCAGAACCTCATGAAGAAGGAGAGAGAACTCAGAGATGTCTTCTGCTATCTCCACTCTCACCCAGCCGGTCGGGGCAGATGGCCTCCTTCCCTGAGCCTGGTTCATTTTTTAAATAAATGTTTTGGGCTTTTTGACTTTATTCAGAGCAGTAGAGAGACAGGAAGGGGGAGGAGAACGGGGAGAGACCTGCAGCAAAGGGTCGTGAGCCGGAGTCGAACCCACGACGGCTGGGTCGGGGACTAGAGCCTGTTCATGGGTCACCTGCTCAGCCAGGCTACCGAGGCGCCCCAATTTGGTGACTTTTTAAAGATAATGTCTTTTAAACCTGGCTTCAGCCATAGAAAACACCTGCGCTGAACTTGGGGGGCGGCTGTGGTTCAGGTGGT